GAGAGCATCTTTGGTTAAGTTTATTTAACAGTGGAACAAAATTAAGTATTCCTTATGTTAATCTAACAACTTGAACGCACTTAATTAACATGCTTTAGACAATTTCATTTCAGTCCCCTTTTTTCATTCAATTCAAGTACTGCTCACAGAAAATCGGAGACATCTGGTGGTCATTTGCTTCTCTTGAAATTTAACACATACTGCAACGTTAACATTCTAGAATTGACGTGCTTTCTCACTTTTGCAAAAACACGATCTTAATGCAATGTTCCATCGTCTAAAAATATGCGATCTTTGAGATTGGGCGCAAAAATTTCACGAAATTAATTGGTTTTCCCACTTTGCGTTAGTACGAAGTGAGTGAAGTGATTTTGGCCAGAAATCGTCAATTAGCAAACGTATTCAAAATGCAAAAGAAAATAAATAAATAAAAATGTCTAACTTAAAAGAAAATGGGAATTTGATAAAAAAAACAATTCAAGAGGGAGAAGGTGCCGACTTATTACTTGGGCCTAGTTCATACAGTCGCCGGCGACAATCTGAGCAGTCCGACAATCCGGATGAACAACAATATTTGAATTTAGTTCAGAAGATCTTAACTACTGGTAGGTGCGCTTAAATAGCCTTGTGTGAACGTACGGTTTAATAGCTTATATTATAGGTGTTGAAAGAACTGATCGTACAGGTGTTGGTACCTTATCTATATTTGGTGCCCAAATGCGGTTCAATTTGCGAGCATCATTCCCGTTATTAACAACAAAGAAAGTGTTCTGGCGTGCGGTGTGTGAAGAACTACTTTGGTTTATAAGTGGCAGCACTGATGCGAAAGTCCTACAAAACAAAAACATTCACATCTGGAATGGTAACGCTAGTCGTGAATTTTTGGATAGATGCGGGTTCAGCGACCGTGAAGAAGGTGACTTGGGGCCAATTTACGGTTTTCAATGGCGCCATTTTGGGGCACAATATCGCACTTGTCGCGATAGCTATGGTACGGAGGGTGTCGATCAATTGAAACAGATAATTAGGACAATAACTACAAATCCCACAGATCGACGTATGATTTTGTCCTCTTGGAATCCAGTAGATATACCAAAAATGGCCTTACCGCCCTGCCATTGCTTGGCCCAATTCTATGTATCCAATAATGAGTTGTCATGTCAACTTTATCAGCGCAGTGCCGATATGGGGCTGGGTGTCCCATTTAATATAGCATCGTATGCATTATTAACGTGTATGATTGCCCATTTAACCGGCCTTAAACCAGGCGAGTTTATACACACTACCGGTGATACGCACATTTACAAAACGCATATCCAACCATTAAAGGAGCAATTAACACGCAAACCGCATGCATTTCCCAAATTGATAATAAAACGTGCCGTGGAAAATATTGAGGATTTCAGGTACTCTGATTTCGAAATTGTGGACTATAATCCCTATCCAAAAATTCAAATGGAAATAGCTGTGTAGACAAAAGGAACATCGCTGTTTACATCTATCTCTAAGCTTATTTAATTTGAGAAATTATCCTTAATATTTAAGATTTTCTGTGTATATTCTCCTATACCACGCTATATATACCTACATATACGTCACTAAACGCGCAATCTCCACTAACAATAAAAAATGCCATATATGCAGATACGCAAAGAATAATATAGAAGAAGTTATTGCAAAGAGAAAGTAGTGGCTCGCTTTTAGGGGGTCCATCTTCAGGAGATTTAAAAGGCCTTTCTCTCATCATGGAATTGCCAGCATATTAATCTATAGGATAACAGACTGTTAGCACGTCAACAGACGACCATCTCTTTAAAGGCAAATGTACCAGGTTTTATTACAAAGTCATGTTTGCTCGATTCTACGGAGCCCTTCTTCAAGAAATTTTAAGCCTAACAGCTTTTTCCATAGCAAAATTCTCAGCATATAGCGGTCAGTAGGCGAGCATTGCTTTTATATTCCAATTTTATAAACACTGTTCGACTACCTACTGTACTTTCATTTCTATACAAGTACTGTCGTTTTAAAATTCTGAACTCATCATAGCTAACATTGAATTTAAAAAAGCTACAACTTTTCGAAACTCAATAATTTTCGCAGATTTTGTTAGGTTTTTTTCCGATTTAATATATAAAGACTTTTGTAACTAATTCTCACGTAACGCAACCCTCCATATTTCGTCTCTTTTACAAAAAAAAAAACCGAATAAATTTATGTGAATTTTTTAAACTATTTACGTCGTTCGAAAATAATAGAATAAGCCCTTCAAGCGCTATATTTTTTTTAAACCCAATTTTACATTACGAAGAAAAGAACAGAAGGGTAAGAAACGCAGAGCAACGAAAGTAAGATGGCTTTCTACACCTCACGAGTGGATGACGATGGTAATGAGCTGGAAAGGCGACCATCGGCACGCAACTTGACGTCGTCAATCACTGACAGCACTGCTAAATCAAACCTCAGTTCACGCAGCTGCGAAATCAAAGGCAACGTGCGGTATGCTTATTGTTCGCAATATATGACGATTACAAAACCTACAAAGCACACGAAATTTTTTTTCTATTAGTTATGTTAATCCGGCCGCCTACATTGAGAAAAGTGGCGAGACGGAAAGAACGCTTGGTGCTGGTCAGAAAAGCGTTCGTAGTAAGGGCCGAGCGAGTTCGGAAACTGAAAGTGATATCGTGCCACCTTTGGACTTGCAGTCGGAAGACAATTACCCTACTACACAGGATTGCACATTTTCCTACCGCAAATACTGCGAACCGGCCAAGATAGTTTTGAAACCGAACAGTGCTTACGAGACTTGGCTATCTGCCAAAAAGTGAGTTGTAAATGATGTTTCAATGCATTTCGAGAAAGATTTTTATATATATATATAATTTAGAAAGCTTCTAACTGATGCGGCTGCCAAGAAGAAAAAAGCCGAACAACAAAAAAAACGGGAAATAGAAGAACGTAAGCGTTTAGCAGAAGAGAAATTCCAGAAATGGCTAGAGACAAAAGCTCGTCAATCAAAAAGTCAACCACCACAACATTCATCAATGCAACAAATCAGTTCGAAGCAAACGATCAAATCGTCCTCAACACGTTCGGAAGTGTTCGAAAAGCCGTCACGTTCTCAACTGAGTAAAGAAGAGTCTAAGGCACGTTTAGTAGAATGGGAGAAAAGCAAGCGTGCACAGGAAGAACGTCGTCGAATAATCAAACGCCAAGAGGAAGAGAAGCGTCGGGAAATTGAAGAACAGCGAAGACATATGGCTGCTGACGCATGGGAGAAATGGTTGTCGGAAGCGGCGAAGAAGCCTAAGCCCGTGCCCTTAAATCGTGGTATTTTCACGTTACGTGCCACCATTTCAAACATTTACGTGAATCCCAACGCGTGGCAGCCGATTATTCCCATCAAAGAGGAAGATTGAGTTTTGTGCTTTTTTGCTTTGTTTATAGTAGCGTTCTTAACGTTTCGTCATTGTTATTGAATAAAAAATCATGTGGACCACCTTTGTTTTTACCGTTTCAAAAAAAATTTTGTCTTTAAATGGCTTTATAGACGAAAAGCATAATAGGAAATGCTTCAATGCTACTTTTCGAAATCATTTATTTGCAGACTGGAGAGTTTCATAGAGATTTAGCTTGTTCGCTTCACTTCAATAATTGGGATAAAAGTAATTGTTCACAAAATTGAACAGCATTGCAAATTTCTTTAGAAAACGGATGCTGCCATCGAAGTTCTCGCTTACACATTTTTGGAATTACCTAACGGCGCTGCCTAAGCGTGTCTGTGCCCGGCCTTCTTGAAGCTTCCATTTCTCGTTCTTGAGGCATTTGATTGACCATTTCCAGTACTTAAAGGACGTAGTAAAAAGCATAGCTTTGCTTAACAAGGGGGCCTCAATGCTTTCAGCTTGATTAGCTCTTTCGCCGTAAGTAGCTCAGCTCTTTCAGACACCGGAACCATGCCAGAGACAGCTCTAAATTTGTTTGACTACATGCGCTGGTCACATGTCGCAGAATGTGTGCATTTTCGATCGTACAAGGGACTTGTACATCAAGAGCGCTTGTTTGCAAGCCAGCATATTTGCTAGTAAGTAGCTTAATTACAGTAGAATTGGACCGATAATTTTTAAAGGCTTCTTCATAATGATTACGAAAGGTTATGCTAGTATTAATGGAGATTCCAAGAAAACGAAAGGACCTTTATTGGATAACTTTGATGTCACTGATAAAAATATTGATAGTTTTTTTGACCTCCGTGCGAAATAGATTGCTCTGATCTTGACTGGACATGAACAAAGATTCAGTTTTATACATTCTTCGTAAAAAGGATTTACTTTCAAGGAGAGATTTTCGACAGCATTCTTAAAGAACGGAAACCAGCAGAGAATCATCAGCATGTTGGAAGATGTGGCTTTTGAAATCATGCAGCTAGTGCAAATAGGCCGTGAGCAGATTGAAGAGAAAAAGGCTTAAGCAGCGGTCTCGAGGCCAACCACCTTGCTCGACAACCGATTTAGCATCTTCACTAGTGTCCCGAGGTTGACACAGTCATAAGCCTTGCATAAAAGAACAATTTTTCTGCGTGTTCTTCTTTCACTATTGATGATCATTGCGAGTTCATTAACGCACGTGTTGGTCATTTTTCGTTTTTGATATACGAAAGAACGAGGTGGTAAGATATTGTAGTCATTAAGGAAGGCAACAAATCTTTCTTTGACCATCCGATTAGTGATTCTACATAGCACTGAAATGCGGGCAGTCGGTCTGAAGTTATTGATATCTTCGTAGCTTTTGCCAAGCTTCGGTATTGGAAGCATTTTGATGCGCCTCCACTCGCCTGGAAAGTTGTTTGTTGTGCATGGGAAGTTAATGACCTCAAGAAAGGCTCGTCGACTTTGAACAGAAAGGGCTCTGACCATCGCTGAATTTGATGCTGTTGCAACCAGCAGCAGAGTATTACTTTTCGAGTGCAAGACCATTGAAAAATCGTTGCATGAGAAAGGGGTAATGTTTTCGGAGAACAGGAAAAACAAGGGAGGTGCTACAAGGTATATGATCTTTAGAAGTTCCAGTAATTTTATTGTCTGCATTCGTCTAGATACGAAGGCTTGTAGATCTACGTCATTCATACGATGACTATTAATATAGTTCCAAAAAAGTCGAGAGTTACCTCCAGCGCAGAGTTCTTCTATAGTTCGCGCACGGAGCCTTCTGTTTGTCTTTCTTTCTGCAGTCTTGAGATATCCGCAGAAACCAGTCTTTTTGATAAATTAGAAGGGAAAAAAGCAGGAGTACAAATTATATCCAAACAACCCTGAAGTTAGTTGCGGTATATCCATGAAGAGGCCAATTGATGATTATGTAAAAAGGGAAAAATCGGTTCAGGACCGATGCCGATATAGAATGGAGTCAATAAGCACTATACTGAAGCCGCAAATAGAATGCAAAAATGAAAATACCCGTAATCACTGAATTTAAAAGTATAATGTTAGCCAATCCGATATGTCCAACATGTATTGTGTCTGTCACCACAAGTGTTCACCCCAATGTTTGTACATGTGGCAGAGATATTAATTTATAAAATGAGCATTTGAAATTTAATACCTTCTGCATTTGTTAATCTTTATTATAATTCCGGTGTCACCTATTTGTTACATATACGAACTTAAGGAGAGCATCTTTGGTTAAGTTTATTTAACAGTGGAACAAAATTAAGT